TGCGAGTGAGTGAGTGAGTGAGTGAGTGCCTAGCAGCAATTATTCTAACAACACAAAGGCTATGTGGCAATTGGGACGCGTTTCGTCGTCATGACGAGAGAACACATAACCCTTTGGCTTGCCCTCCGTCTCTTAATAAATGATACCCGTGAAGGTCCTGGTTAGAATATTGATCCTCAGTAACCCATACTTGTCGTAAGAGGCGACTAACGGGATCGGGTGGTCAGGCACGCTGACTTGGTTGACACATTGCGCAGATCGATGCCCATGCTGTTGATCACTGGATTGTCTGGTCCAGACTCGATTATTTACAGACCGCCGCCATATAGCTGGAATATTGTTGAGTGCGGCGTAAAATTAAACTCACTCACTCTCTCGCTTAATAAATGCAATGTTACAACTGCGACAAAAACAGGAAGAACAGTCAAAGAACGCGGACAGTCTCCTGGACATTTCATCAGGGCTCAAGACCCATCGGTTTAGTCGATATGACATTCCCTGAACAGAAGTATTGTTAGCTCTTTGAGAATACTTTGGTACTTATCCAGATTAACAGAAATAAGTTAGTATCAATGCTCATAGTTTCAATGAAACAACGGACAGATTGCAGCACCACACGTTCCACATTTCAGCCGCTTCTCACGCAGGCCAAGCACGGGGTACTCTGGACATGATCAGCCCAGCATCTACATCAAGACATCACACAGGTCTAGTACAGGGTGATCGAGACATGATCAACCCAAGTATCTTCACAAAGACTGCATGGAGGCCAAGCACGGGTTACTCGAGACATGATCAGCTCAGCATCTACATAAAGACATCACACAGGCCAAGAACGGGGTGATCGAGACATGATCAACCCAAGTATCTTCACAACGACTGCATGGAGGCCAAGCACGGGTTACGCGAGACATGATCAATTCAGCATCTACATAAAGACATCACACAGGCCAAGAACGGGGTGCTCGAGACATGATCATCCCAAATATCTTCACAAAGACTGCATGGAGGCCAAGCACGGGTTACTCGAGACATGATCAACCCAGCTTCTTCACCAAGACTGCAGGCAGGCCAAGCACGGGTAGTCCTTAACAAAAAGAGCATCAAAGCAGAACGCTCATTGTAAAGAAGACTACGTAAACGGGAAAGATCCGGCCGCTATGTACAAGCTCCCCGACAGTGCTCATCGGGGGTCCATTGTACTAAACATACAGAACACTTCTATGAAACAGATGACTATAACTCCGTTGACCTATTATGCTTGTCATCTGAAAGATAATGTGTTGTCTTTGTCGTTGTTTACCATCATCGTCGTCGTCATCGCCATGATCATCATAATTATAAAACTTGCGAAATACGGAAATATGTCTGATGTAGACAATAGCCCAATAGAAATCAATATCAAAAATGAGCTTCATCTGCTTGTATAATCAAAACTTGTAAAGCTCCTTGTGACTGTTTCTTTGTTGTGGCAAGCGAACTACTTACCCATGTCGTTCATCAATGAATGCAATACTACGATTACTAAACACCCAATGAGATAATAAAGCTGAGAGGAAGGTCTCCAGACTTTCTAACGATCCACATTTTAATAAAACTTTGAAAGATCCCACGAAGTATAAAACATGTTTAATCAGAAAGCCCAATGTGAAAATATCTTTACAACGAAGCATGCCAGGTTTGATGTAAAAATATCGATCGGATGAAAGATATCGATCTAATCAACGGCAATCAAATAGGCAGATTCCCGAAAAACCAGCTGTTTGTCTCCATTAGCACGTCCCAACTCAAGCCTGACAAGCTTTATCAAATAATCAGACCACACAACCGGTGCAAAAACGCCTATTTACAAATTATATGTTGACATTAAAACTCCCTCTGCACAACAGGCTACGACAAATGACTTCCAAATGACTTGCTGAATGTCGGAATAGCAATGGTGTCGAGATGTGGAGAATTCATATAGAGTCACAGGTGGGATTAAACTAATTGAATGAGATTCATGCCTACAAGCCTAATACAGAATTCCCGATATAGTAAATTGAGAGTGCCGGCATATGTGCGCTTGAATGGGTCTGTCACTTTGACAAGGTGCGGTGTGTCTTTCCATTGTCCTAATACAATAGATATCAGTACATCAATAAGATCCGATGTTTACAGACCCTCTGCAGTTTCACAATAAATATTTATATCGCTCTGATTAAATCAGGAATCAATTCAATGGCTGGAGACGTACCTCGCATAGGCTTGAACTCATGACATTCTATTTTCGTTGTCCTATTGGAGTTTTCAGCAGACAATTATACCGACCAAATGTAAATTAATTTTCAATTCATCCGTTATGCTCTGTATGATCATGTAATGTATATTTATATTTACAGTTTTATAGTCACAGGGGCAAGGTTTGTTTACATATATACATACATACTTGTCCTAAAGCGGTACTTTGTTTGAATATGTATTTATTCCCGTAACCCACTGTGCATGTCCATAGGTGAATGTGAACCTTCTTTAAGTAGCATTTAGAAGAGGGTATGGTGACAATGAACAAGTTTTAAGGATTGACAACGTCTTTATTGCAATAAAGAAGGATGGCAATATATGGATGAACAGCTTCTTTATTGCTGTGAGAGCGACGTTTCGGTGTAGGTTCTAACGACGTTATCAAGCAAGTTGCAATAGATGCGATGTGTCGATACAGATAGTAACATTTGCTTGATAACGGTGTTAACATCTACATGGAAACGTCCACTCTATTGCAAGAAAGTTGTAAATCCATAAATGAATGTGTGCCTGAAGGTGAATGTGAATCAGTCGGGTACAGTTATTTGGTTTAGAAATCATACCATGATATAAAGTGTGTTACAGTCTCAATACGTACCTATTTGTCACGGGTGGTATTACAAATTCGTTACGTATTACGTAACAACTTACGTTTAACGTTTTTCGCTAATCAATGACTACATGCGTCCTGCATGGGTATCATGGCATATTTCATCTGATGTTCCCCCTTTATCCTTTCCCTCCCCATCCCATCCCCCGCCACCGAGTTTTCATCCATCCCGTCACGTCATTTCACCAACTCTACCGCAGCGACTCGTGAAGGTCCGGGTTAGAATATTGATCTTCAGTAACCCATGCTTGTCGTAAGAGGCGACTAACGGGATCGGGTGGTCAGGCTCGCTGACTTCGTTGATACACGTCATCGGTCAATTGCGCAGATCGATGCTCATGCTGTTGATCACTGGATTGTCTGGTCCAGACTCGATTATTTCCAGACCGCCGCCATATAGCTGGAATATTGCTGAGTGTGGCGTAAAACTAAACTCACTCATTCACTACCGCAACCTTAATACCCATCCATCATTACATACACGCACGCCCACTCACACACACACACACACTCACTGATACATACATACACATACGCACAGTGTTACACACACACACACAGACACACACACACACACACTGGCAATACACATACGCACGCATGCACGCGCGCATACCTGGGTCATTTTCCTGGATAACACTCCCCTGCCATTTCCTTCCCCGATCAACGAACACGACGTTAACGAAGTGGCAGATGTAACAACGTGTTGTTTCCTTTCCGGTGTCGGCTTCTTACTGTACATTTTAGTCGCAATAAATATAACGAACTTCGGTTATAACGAACTAAATTAAAGTTCTGAATAACCGTACGAGTAGTTCAATGAGATTGAATTCTCCAATACAGATCTGGTTACATGTTGTCTTGAATAAATATATCGCCCTTTGTTCAGTTTGTGTGAAAAATTCCCCTTTACAGACACCTGTTTTTCGGATCAATATTTATTGGAGAGTGGCTTATGGAGGAAATGACATCTTGGGATATATTGGGAGAGGACACGTGGAGAATAAACGGGGATAACTAGAATTGTCTATTTGCAAAAGATGATTCTTGAGATAAACACATACACATGCATCCACCCACACGCACACACCCACGTGCACACGCATGTGTCACTTTTTAACGCCACACTCAGCAATAATCAGCAATATGAAAGCAATTTGTAATTATCGAATCTGGACCAGACAATCAAGTGATCAACATCATGAGCATCGATCTACGTAGTTGGGATACGAATACACCTGTAAACTAAGTCTCTTACGACAAGCAAAGATTGCTGAAGACCAATTCTAGCCCAGGCCATCACGGGTCATTATTATCGAGAGATGGCATGGAGAGAATAGACAGCGAAAATAGAATCGCCTCCATGTAGAAGAAACCTGAGACACACTCACACGCACAACACATGCACGTCAGTTACTAGGATGGTAGTTATATGGTTAAGTAGAAAGCTGACGAGCTGCATCCAATGTTCTGACTATGGTGTGAGTTTCTTGAAGGTCGGACGTGCGATACAGTACCTTTTTAATCGACACATTTATCCATATCATATCAAGAGTAAATGTCCCAATATAAAGACGTTATTGACAGTCATAGTCCACATAGCAAAATGTCCAGAATAACGGGGTTTGCCATTAAATGTAGACAAGAAGACTGGCTTATGTATTGCTAGATATAGGCATTATCGTACATTACTTTAACCTGTTTATAGTGTTCATGTACAAGCACATATGTCAAGTACGTAGTACGAGATGACGAAAACTACATGTACGTATTCAGTACGTCATGTTAATTCAAATAGATATATCCGTACATTGTTCTTGCCAAACATGAGCGTTATTTTAAATCAAACAAGTATTTCATTTTATATATCATGCAAAGTATATCTGACTATCCCGTTTAATATAAGTACAGGAAAATTAAAACGATACTAATTGGATGACAGAAATAATTGTAACATGTGGATATATATTAGTATTTCTCAGCGTGACCTCCCTGAACGTAAAATCAAATTATAAACTTCATTCAACTTTTCGCAAACCAAGCTGAAAGAAAGAAATAACAAAACTATCGATCGCGACATCAATATAATGAAATGAAGTTTCCTCACCATCATTCGGAGCCGACTTGGACAACACTTCTAATTCGCAGTTCGTTTTTGCAATCAAAGTTGGATGTAAAAAGTGTCCTTTGATGATGTTAAGCTTTCCAGCGCCTTCATCTTCCAGAGACATACTTTCCCAAATGACAGGTAGTCACAAACACACACACACACACCTGTTGTAAGTAGGCAGGGATATTTAGAACGCGCGAACTCCGCGTTGTAGTACAGTCATCTGTTGCACTCACAAACGACTAGCCATCTGTGCTTGTAGCTCGTTCGCATTATATAGGCGTCTCCATTCGCCTTCCGCTGGACAGACAAGGTTTGCTTGGGGCAGTAGGATAGCTTGTAATTCAATCAGAAAGTTGTGCCGATACGCAACCATTAAACGCGACTCGGAGCATTGAAGGCAACGTCAATCGTCGTAGCTTTCCTCTGCCGTTTCAATTTAGCCAATACGTGCAATCCTTTAGCTCTTCAATAATAATTACACGTTCTATAAAACCTCGCGGCTCGTGGCTTGGTCTTAAGGCTTCCTTCTCCATGATTTGGCATAGGATAGACTACAATTGTTTGCCTTTTAATTCCCGGACTGGATGCAGTGCCATAGCGCTGGAGGTTCTATGGGCAGGCCGAACGTTCTTGATGACCAAATAGTTTCTCTTCCTTCGCAACTCGAAAGTCGTAAAGACTTTGGCCGTTCACGGCACCGGGACTGATATCTGGTCAATACGTATCGACAGATGGAGCAATGCTAATAAATCATAAAAGGCCACCATAGCGACCCTTGGCCCTCGGAGGTGACCATGTCAACAGAATCGGTTAATGGTCAATCTACTGACACAGTTCTCTCTTAAGTTACTTTGATATTACTAGTATTGTCGTAAAGATGTTTAATGTAGCTTAATAAAATACTTTCTGTCGGTAAGTGAAATAAATTAATTTTGAAAGTTATTTCATGGATTCGGGTTCGTAATATAGTCTCAGTCCCGTCTCCGTTACTGTTTACAATTTGATATCAACGGAAATAACGTATGTAAGTGGCATTTAGAAGTTGGTGTGATGAATAAGGGAGACAGATCTATGGATATAGAACTTTTTAATTCCAATGTATGCGACGTTTTGGTCTAGATTCTAACGCCATTAACACGCAAGTGAGGACATATGGAAATGTGGGAGTTAAAGGTATCACTTAATCGCTGAAGATTGGAAATTGAACAGAAAAGATAAAATATATTTTCAAATTGAAACCACAGTGTGTGCTCAAAACACATGTGATATTAGTCCATGTGAGGTCTGACGTTATTATATTGCGGCATGTTTTCCTACGACATAATGAAACGTACAGATGTGCCCCGTATGTACATGCTTCTATTACTTTTGGCATCCGTTTTTCGCGATTTAATTCGCTTGAGTATATTCGTATTGAATCAATATGAATATATGAATCGATCCGTGGCCAGATTTGTGTTTGACGAGCGCAGGTAACATGTTTGACACGTATACTGTCAGTGTTGACCGACATTCGAACATCTCCTGACAACCCCAATATCCACTTCACGACGTCGTCATAATCATTGTTCCGTAAAATCGTCATATATACTTCACGTCGTATTCATTGTTCAAGGAAATCTTCATATCCACTTCACGTCATACTCGTTGTTCAAGGAAATCTTCATCTCCACTTCACGTCATAATCGTTGTTCAGGAAATCTTCATATCCACTTCACGTCACACTCGTTGTTCAAGGAAATCTAAATATCCACTTCACGTCATACTCGTTGTTCAAGGAAATCTTCATATCCACTTTTCACTCGTTGAGGAAATCTTCATATCCACTTTCATAATCGTTGTTCGAAATCTTCATATCACTTCAAATCTTCATACTCGTTGTTCAAGGAAATCTTCATATCCACTTCACGTCATAACTCGTTGTTCAAGGAAATCTTCATATCCACTTCACGTCATACTCGTTGTTCAAGGAAATCTTCATATCCACTTCACGTCATACTCGTTGTTCAAGGAAATCTTCATATCCACTTCACGTCATACTCGTTGTTCAAGGAAATCTTCATATCCACTTCACGTCATACTCGTTGTTCAAGGAAATCTTCATATCCACTTCACGTCATACTCGTTGTTCAAGGAAATCTTCATATCCACTTCACTCGTTGTTCGAAATCTTCATATCCACTTCACGTCTCGTTGTTCAAGGAAATCTTCATATCCACTTCACGTCATACTCGTTGTTCAAGGAAATCTTCATATCCACTTCGTCATACTCGTTGTTCAAGGAAATCTTCTTCCACGTCATACTCGTTGTTCAAGGAAATCTTCATATCCACTTCACGTCATACTCGTTGTTCAAGGAAATCTTTCATATCCACTTCACGTCATACTCGTTGTTCAAGGAAAAACTCGTTGTTCAAGGAAATCTTCATATCCACTTCACGTCATACTCGTTGTTCAAGGAAATCTTCATATCCACTTCACGTCATATCCACTTCACGTCATACTCGTTGTTCAAGGAAATCTTCATATCCACTTCACGTCATACTCGTTGTTGTTCAAGTTCAAGGAAATCTTCATATCCATCTTCATTCCACTTCACGTCATACTCGTTGTTCAAGGAAATCACTTCACGTCATCGTTGTTCAAAGGAAATCTTCATATCGTTGTTCAAGGAAATCTTCATATCCACTTTCACTCGTTGTTCAGGAAATCTTTCATATCCACTTCACGTCATATCGTTGTTCAAGGAAATCTTCATATCCACTTTCACGTCATACTCGTTGTTCAAGGAAATCTTCATATCCACTTTCACGTCATCATACTCGTTGTTCAAGGAAATCTTCATATCCACTTCACGTCATAATCGTTGTTCAGGAAATCTTCATATCCACTTCACGTCATACTCGTTGTTCAAGGAAATCTTCATATCCACTTCACGTCATACTCGTTGTTCAAGGAAATCTTCATATCCACTTCACGTCATACTCGTTGTTCAAGGAAATCTTCATATCCACTTCACGTCATAATCGTTGTTCTTCATATCCACTTCACGTCATATCGTTGTTCAAGGAAATCTTCATATCCACTTCACGTCATACTCGTTGTTCAAGGAAATCTTCATATCCACTTCACGTCATACTCGTTGTTCAAGGAAATCTTCATATCCACTTCACGTCATAACTCGTTGTTCAAGGAAATCTTCATATATCCACTTCACGTCATAACTCGTTGTTCAAGGAAATCTTCATATCCACTTCACGTCATACTCGTTGTTGGAAATCTTCATATCCACTTCACGTCATACTCGTTGTTCAAGGAAATCTTCAATCCACTTTTCATATCCACTTCACGTCATACTCGTTCAAGGTTCATATCCACTTCACGTCATAAGGAAATCTTCATATCCACTTCACGTCATACTCGTTGTTCAAGGAAATCTTCATATCCACTTCACGTCATAATCGTTGTTCAAGGAAATCTTCATATCCACTTCACGTCATACTCGTTGTTCAAGGAAATCTTCATATCCACTTCACGTCATACTCGTTGTTCAAGGAAATCTTCATATCCACTTCACGTCATACTCGTTGTTCAAGGAAATCTTCATATCCACTTCACGTCATACTCGTTGTTCAAGGAAATCTTCATATCCACTTCACGTCATACTCGTTGTTCAAGGAAATCTTCATATCCACTTCACGTCATACTCGTTGTTCAGGAAATCTTCATATCCACTTCACGTCATACTCGTTGTTCAAGGAAATCTTCATATCCACTTCATACTCGTTGTTCAAGGAAATCGTCATATCCACGTCATCGTTGTTCAAGGAAATCTTCATATCCACTTCACATCCATAATCATACTCGTTGTTCAAGGAAAATCTTCATCATCCACTTCACGTCATAATCGTTGTTCAAGGAAATCTTCATATCCACTTCACGTCATACTCGTTGTTCAAGGAAATCTTTCATATCCACTTCACGTCACGTCAAATCGTTGTTCAAGGAAATCTTCATATCCACTTCACGTCATACTCGTTGTTCAAGGAAATCTTCATATCCACTTCACGTCATACTCGTTGTTCAAGGAAATCTTCATATCCACTTCACGTCATACTCGTTGTTCAAGGAAATCTTCATATCCACTTCACGTCATACTCGTTGTTCAAGGAAATCTTCATATCCACTTCACGTCATACTCGTTGTTCAAGGAAATCTTCATATCCACTTCACGTCACTCGTTGTTCAGGAAATCAAGGAAATCTTCATATCCACTTCACGTCATACTCGTTGTTCAAGGAAATCTTCATATCCACTCACGTCATCGTTCAAGGAAATCTTCATTCATACACTTCGTCATACTCGTTGTTCAAGGAAATCTTCATATCCACTTCACGTCATACTCGTTGTTCAAGGAAATCTTCATATCCACTTCACGTCATACTCGTTGTTCAAGGAATTTCAATCCACTTCACGTCACGAGTCGTTCAAGGAAATTCATATCCACTTCACGTCATAATCGTTGTTCAAGGATAATTTCTTCACATTCCAAATCATATGTTCAAGGAAATCTTCATATCGTCATCACACGTTGTTCAAGGAAATCTTCATATCCACTTCACGTCATAACTCGTTGTTCAAGGAAATCTTCATATCCACTTCACGTCATACCTCGTTGTTCAAGGAAATCTTCATATCCACTTCACGTCATACTCGTTGTTCAAGGAAATCTTCATATCCATGTTCGTATGGATCGTGCACGCCACTTCATGTTTAAGTGTATTTTTCCCCGAATGAGATGTTTGGTTGTTATTTAATATTCTGTTGTGGAGGCATGTTCTCATTTCGCCTACATCTCAATTCGCCTACAGTCTTAAAACAACATTTCATGGTTTGTTGACTGTTGATTGCGCAATGATTTAAGCTAGTGTCATAAATTGGACCCTATGATCTAAAAAGTGAACTCTTCTAGTTACCGTGAAGAAGTTGAAGGATTGAAAAAGAATTTATTTCTGTTATTTGTAAGTTATTTATTTACTCTGTTATTTGTCATTTCCCGATCACAATGATATTCACATCATATCACAAATTCACATCATATCACATTAGTATTAAGGAAGTTAACTTGTGCAGATGTCCACTAAGGAGATAAACATACTGTGTTGGAAAATTAGGTTTATAACGAAATTATAATTGCTCTAAATTTGAATTAAAAACCCTACGTGTAGGTTTTAAATACAAAATGTAGAGCTATTATAATTTTATCTCCATTTTACCATAGCCGTGTTATTAAGATTAAACAAAATACATACTGTATTGGAAAATCAGAGGTATACGATGTGATTATATACCTCTGAATGACTTTGATTAACCACAATCCAGTATTTACTGAAGTCATGGTAG